AGAGAGAGAATGAGAGAGACTGACTTAATGAGCCTGGTGACTTCCAGAGAGGACAAACAAGACACAATGTGTCCACTGCTGTCTGGGCAGGCTGCTCCTTGGCCCTCCTGTACAATGTAGAGGAAGTCTCGCCTTCTCTCAGGATACAGCCACATCGGTGAGGTGGCAGCTGGCATAGTACGTGACACTCTTCTGGTTGGAGACGTTGCCAGAGACTTCCGGTTCCTCAAGAGACATGCAGAATTGGGACTCAGCTCTCTTAGACCTCACTAGCAGGGCCATTGGGGGTTGGGGGCTGGGTCTCAGAGGAAGCTGCTTCTCCTGTGTAAGTGGGACCTGCAGGAACCATAACTGTCGCTCCTTGGAGACCACTTCAGGCATCGAGCAGGGACCTGACAGTGTTTGTAGCAACTGTGAGTGTTTTTGGCTAAAGAGACTTAGGCTGGAGCAGGGAGCCAATAGGAAGATGCTGTTCTTGAACCTCTGCTTGAAATTGAATGAAAACTCGACCAAGGTAGGTGTCCTAACGAGACTTAGCACATCACGGAAACGAAGGCTAAGAGAGTCCTTGCTAGGACTGTACTAGCTGCAAGGATCTTGATCATATGGCGCAGGGGCTGTCAGGCAGCTGAGGCACAGCTGTCCCCGGGTCCTGTGTGTGCGCGCGTGCCTGTGATGTGGCAGGAGGGAGGAAGACACCGAGGCTCTAAGTGATGGGCTTGCCGTGGCCCCTGAGCAGGTGTGGGAAGGCAGCAGGACACCCCAGACCTGCTGTGCCCTCCCCCTTGACCGTTAGGATGCTTCTCTAGGCAGTGGAGGAGGCTTAGCAAGAGCAGAGACACAGCAGAAGACCAGCCGGGGAGAGCCGAGGTAGAATTCTGGGGAGCGGCCTGGCGGCTCTCCTGGCTCCAGTCTAGGGCAGATCCCCACAGCCGTTTCCGCTGTCGCTGTTTGTCACTTTCCCCATAGGTCCGCCCAGCATGGGCCCAGCTGCCGAGGTCTTATGCTTGCGAGATGCCCCCTCCGCACTGCTCCCTCGCAGCCCTGCCAAAGGCTGGCCTATGTGTTCACTCTGAAGCCTCCAGCTGCCCTCGGCGCCTTGGGCTGAAGCGCAGGCGTGGTGTCTGTGGACTTCCCAAAGCGTGTGAAACCTTGTCACCAGGTAAACAGACCCGTGTTCAGCGTCATCTCAAAGGACAGCCGGCCATCCACCGCCTGCGCAATCTTGCGGGTGTTAAGTTCGTTCAGATGCAAGTTTCCTCAGCTGTAGAAGGGGGATCAGAAAAGTTCCTTCATCATGAAAGGGTCGGGAGGATCGAATGAATTAGTATATGCTGTTCACAGGAATGTCTGTTCATTTTCTGTTAAGGGTGGTATGAAATCCCTTTGTGGTAAAAATCAGGAGGGTCTAGTTACGGTGGAAGCTTGCCACTTAGCACACGGGTAGCATATAGACACAAACCCTGGTTGCAGGTGTCCGTTGGTTCTAGTGAGTTTTTACAATCCACACATTTTCTGTTGTTTAAGGCTTTCAAAAGCTAAAAGTAATCACTTGAACATGTGTATAGAGCTTTCGTTTTGCCAGGTGCTTCCTATCTCATTTGAAAACTTATTCCACAAAAATGTGCTAAGTTCCCTCATCTCTGAGCACCGGGGAAGGCGGACGGAGCAGGCTAGAAGTGCGTGCGCACCGCGGCTTCAAGCTAGTCAAGAGCTGAAGGACCGACCTGGGGCTGGAAACACAGACGTCCTAGGGAGAAGGGTGCTCCGCCAAATGCCAGGGCTGCAGAGCCGGAGGCGGGTGTGAGCGCGGGTGCAAGAGCCAGAAGTGTCGCCCACAGGGGGTGCGGGGGGAGTAGGCCCAGAGGTCGGGGAACACGGCGCTGCCCCCCGAGGGGCCCGATTGACACCTGCCCCCAGTGGGGCGCCAGGGCAGAGTCTTCACAGAGAATCCAGATTTTAACCCTGATTTCAATTAAAGGAGCAAAAACTATCGAGCAGCAGACGGAAGGCAGGGAGAGCCGCTGGTGCACGGCTGCCGCTTTAATCCAGACATGAGCAGGGCTGGACATAACAGAGAGCTGAGGCCTCAGAGAAGGAAGGGCAGGGTCCTGAGATGGCCCGCGGGGTGGTGGGGAAGCAGGCAGCCCGGAGGAGAGTGCGGCCGAGGGGCCCCCTGACCCCAGACTCACTCAGCGATCCAGCAGTAGAAGTGAGAGAGCTGGGAACAGTCACCTGTGTCTGCTTTGGAGAACAAGGAGAGGACTACGTTACAGAGCTCTGTGGAGGTGGGGTCTGCGCCGTCATGTCTGGCATACTTTGGCCTCACGTTCAATAGATGAAAACTAGAAATGCAGTAAATTTTGCTTGTAGTTTCCTAACTCGCTCCGCATCCCCTTCTTCTCAGGTACCAGAGCCCGCATGGCAGAGGCAAACCTCACCCTAGTGACAGAATTCCTCCTGATCGCTTTCACTGAGTTTCCAGAGTGGGGGCCACCTCTCTTCCTCTTGTTTTTATCCATCTACCTCCTCACTTTAGTGGGAAACTTGGGGATGATTATCGTGATCCGCGTGGACCGCCGGCTGCACAGCCCGATGTACTTCCTTCTGAGCCACCTCTCTGCCACGGATATCTGCTACTCCTCCACCACCGTTCCTCAGGTGATGGCTGTGCTGTTGGAGTGTGGGGCAGCTTTGTCCTATGCTCGCTGCGCAGCACAGTTCTTCCTCTTCACCTTCTTTGGTTCCATCGACTGCTACCTGCTGGCCCTCATGGCCTATGACCGCTACGTGGCCGTGTGCCAGCCTTTGCTCTATGTTACCATCATGACCCAGAGGGCTTGTCTAGGTTTTGTGGCTGGGGCTTACGTGGCTGGTCTCTTCAGTGCCTTGGTGCGGACGGTCTCCGCCTTCTCTCTCTCCTTCTGTGGCAACAATGAGATCAACTTCATTTTCTGTGATCTCCCTCCACTCTTAAAGCTGAGTTGCGGGGACAGCTACACCCAGGAAGTGGTCATCATTGTATTTGCCATTTTCGTCATCCCCGCCTCCATGGGGGTAATCCTGGTGTCCTACCTGTTCATCATTGTGGCCATCACGAGGATCCGCTCTGTGGGGGGCCGGGCCAAGACCTTCTCCACCTGCGCCTCCCACCTCACTGCTGTCACTCTGTTCTTTGGCACCCTCATCTTCATGTACCTGAGAGACAACTCGGGCCAGTCCTCACAGGGGGACAGGGTGGTGTCTGTGTTCTACACTGCAGTGATCCCCATGCTGAACCCCCTCATCTACAGCCTGAGGAACAAGGAGGTGAAAGAGGCTGTAGGGAAGATTCTCCGCAGGCTCAAGCTGTGCTAACCACCTTGGCCTTGGGGCTCCAGGGGTCACCTGCTCTGTGGCACCAGCCTGGCGGAGCTGCCCATTCAATTCATACATGCCTGGTGGGCCAGGAGCATGTCATGTACATGGCGTGGAAAGCACCAGAGTGTTTGCTCCAGGAAGAAAAGAAAAAGACTAAGAAGAGACTGGAGTGGGAGCTGTGGAGTTGACCCCACGCAGCCGCAGTGAGGCCACCCTCAACAGTCTGTGAAGACAGAAGACTGTATTTTTTCAAAATTTTCTGTGAAAGATTTGCACCATAGAGCTATTTTGAAAATAAACTCTCTGTACTTAGTACTTAGATTCTGTGATAGCTAATATCTGTTAAATTTACCTCACCACTTATGTATGTATGTGTATGTCTATATTATTTCTTAATTTATCTCTACCGATTCATCTGCGAATGCCCCTTACTTTCTGATTTGTTTCCAAGTGAGTTGTAGACATCAGCTTCAGCATCCTTCATCCCCATGTGCATCAGAATTATGTCATCATTTAGGGTTCAATAGTTAGACTATACTTATTTTCTATGGTCAAGTTATAGCATTTTTGTGACCCAATTACTAAAGCTGATCCTGCTCAAAGTGGTCTTAGGATCTTGCCAGGGGTTCCCATGATGCTTCACACAAAACCCTAAAGAACGCCCACAAGAGCACATCTGTGCTTTGTTGTTCTTTCTGGAAATGTGTCCTGCTGTTTCTCCTGTCCCACCTGGCCCAGCTTCTGTGTGCCACTCAGCATGCTCAGTGGAGTCATGCCACACTGTCCGCAATGGCAGTTCTGGTGTTAGAATCACAGATGGCGATTCTATGTTTTTACACTGTTTGTCCTCGGGGAGGCAGAGTGTTCCTGCCTTTCATGCAAGGGTAGCAGGTTTCCCAGTTTACCCTGTGGTCTGTGATACCTCAGCCGAAAGCTTCACTAGGGACCCTGGTATTTGAGCTTCGCTTCTCTAACTACAGGTGCCTGTATCAATTGGACCCAAGGCACAGAGCTGAATGGGGTTCCCTCTACCCCTATTTCTTCACTTTTCTGGGTGATCTCTTTTTCCCACACTCAAGCTCCTTTTGTCCCTATTCTTTGGAACTTCAAATACCAAACTTGGATGTTCAGAATATCATGTACCAAGACCCCAGGTATATGAGTGAGGTACACGCTTGTGGGAGGAGGAGGAGGAGGAGGAGGAGACTGTATCTGACACACAGGAAGATTCCAAGCTCAGCCAGCTAAAGCAGTGTGTCAAGCATGGAGTTCTAGTAACAGGGTTTTCTACTGGAACAAGTAGATTAGGAAAGGTGGAAAATTAGGAGTGCACATGGCTGAGGATATTCAATTTAAGATCACAAAGTAGACTAAAATAGATCTAAAACTTCAAGGGTGTTGTGTTCATTCTAGAAGACAGGATATTTGAAAATAGATTTGTGATTTTCATATGAAGTATTTTTTCCTTTTAGTAGTGTTGTTTTTGAGTGTTAAAGCTGAGGCTGAAAATAACCTTAGCTCCATTAAGGGATGATTAATATATTTTTCATGTGTCAATTGCAATTATGGGCAATGGAAAACATTAAGTAAGTAGTTGGAGTTCTTGAACAAGTTCTATGAAATTCTATCCTAATTGGAAAAGACAATATTGGGTTTGTGTAAATAAAACAGTACACCAAGGAATTACTTTCTCTCTCAGCATCTATAAGAAGGGAGAGAATTCATGAGGAGTGGAAAAGGAGCTCTAAGTGAACGAGTTTCCAGGGCTAAAGAAGTCATTTAGTGCATCCTTCTGATTAAATTTTGAGCAAGCATCTAAAGAGTTCAAGAGGAAAGGAATAACTGAAAAGGTAGAAACCGGGCCACAGAGCCTCAAGTTATATACAGGACTCCATATACTTTTTGTTCCAGAAAAAGAGCTCAAGGGAAGTCAGAACATGTGTTCCATTTGTGTCTGGAAGAGTTGATGATGGCTGTAAATGAGGCCATTTCCTTGTCTTTTATGCAGTGTCGGACTCATCCAGATAAAGGTCTGTGATTGTTTTTGTTCTGTTGTTTTAATTCTATAAGTGCCACTTTACTTGAAAATACACGGCTGGTGATAAATCATGCAAAAATATCTGCTTCCGGCTTACAGAACAAAACCACTGTGTAATCCAGCAACTCCAGTTCTGAGCATGGATTCAAAAGGGCTGACGTCAGCATGATAGGGAGAGAGGTCACCTCCCTGTGTACTGCAGAGTTGAGCACATCACCCAAGAGGTGGACATGACCCTAAGGCTCAAGGGCAGATGAACATATGAAGAAAGTGTAACTTTAAACTCAGGCTCCTAAAAGAGGGAAATTCCAGCATCTGAGGTGAACCTAGAGGAGTTACAGTAGCTGAAAGTCACAAGCCACAGAAAGGCAAATGTTCCTCATCCACATACAAATTATCTAACACAGCAAACTTGTGGAATCAGAGAGCACGATGGTGGTGGCCAAAGCTAAGAGGAAGGGGAGATGGGAAATTATTCAATGGGCATAAAGTTGCAGTTAGGCAAGATGCATAAGTTCTAGAAGTCTGATGTACAATGTAGGGCCTACATCTAATGAAGCACTATAGGATACTTTATAATATGTCAAGGAGAAGAAACTCATGTTAAATGTTCTTAAATCCAGAATGCAAACACAGAAACAAAAAGAGGAGCAACTAGTCAACAAACCAAAAATTCCCCACCCCCAAATTAACAAAAAAGAAAACTTACAAAACCCACAAACAAACAGACAAAGAAGAGGAGGAGCCTCTTCCCTCCTCTAAGATCCACCCTCCCAAACTCCACACCCAGCATGTTTCCCCGATGCTGGACCCCGGAGGCACAGAATGACCGGTCCACCTGCTTACCAAGGCCAGTGTTCCAAGACAGGAGGTGAACCCAGGAAAGCCCACGGCTCCTCAGAGAAGCAGCAGACTGACCTGCAGCGCTGGACCCCAGGAACCCACAGAGGAAGACTTACTGCATCCTGTACTTGAATTCAGCAAAATAGCCCAATATACTCCAATAGTCCATAATAGTAGTGGGTGATTAGCAGAACTGGCAATTGTCAGAAGTTGTTGGCTTGAGCCTTTTATAGCTCACTTTTTACCCTGAAGCCATGTACAACAGCTTGTAGATCTTTTGTCAGTGTCAGCCATCTGGATGAACCACAGCCATTGCTTGACCAATTTGCTCTCCGTGAAAGCCTGAGAAATTTATTTTTTTCTCCCTAGGTGACTCTCCTCAGGCATATTATACACCAGTCATCACTGTACTCTGTGGCCTCATAATCTCCTTGCAACATTTTTCTCTATTTTGCTATTTTTTCTTTTCATATTTTTCTAGTTCATTTTCTTCTATTATTAGTATCTCATACTATTAACTTCCTTTTACTCCTCAGTAGGTTTCCTAATCTCTTTCTCTCCTTCCATTGATAAACATTTCAATTACTCCTCTTATTCTCCAGTTCCCCTCCCTGTGCCCCTTTATTAGTATAACCACAGGGAATTATCATTTTTTGGTTAACTCTGTGCTACTAATGTTGAATACAGCTCTATTGTTAGTGAATGTAAAGTGTTCAGTTTAGTAGACAGTTATTGTAGGTAAATATTCGGCTTGTCTTAGTGTTCATACTACGATTGTAGATCTCCACGGTCAAGGGTGGTACAAATGTAGTTCTCAGGATATATCAATATCTAGCTTGTCTTTGATGCTATTATTATTGCTGATTTTGTTACCACAGTCAAGGCGACGTAGTTGTTGCTGTTAATTGCTTTTCTTAGTACTCCAGTGCCCGGGCTGCTGTTGTGTTGTTAGCAGGTCAGTGGCCAGTTCCTGGAGCGGTGGGTACAGGGCCAAATAACCCGCAGCTTCCTCATCCACGTCAAGGGAGGTGGCTGCGTCCCAGGTCAGAGCTGGCCTACAGCTGGCCGGGTGCAGAGGGTATCACTGGACAGCGGAGATGAACTCACGAGGGCTCCGTACTGCCAACTCAGTCCCCCACTGCAATCAGCCTGCAAGCTCCAGTGTGCCCAACAAACGAACCACAGAAGGAAACACGAGAATGCAAGGCAACCAAATACCTCCCCAAACTGCCAACTCCCCCGAAGCCGATCTATCCATGGAGCACAGAAGTGTGGAATCAAAAGCCCACATCTGAATTATTCAACAGAACACCAGAGGAGCTAAAAGTGGATCAATAAGGTGCATGGTGAATATCAAGAAGATATAACTAGACAGATAATGGCCCTAATAAACAAAAACAACCAGTGAGTCTACAGAAGACACAAATAAAAAGCTAGTTGAGTTAAAAAAAAAAAAGATACAAAACAGGAATGCCTAGCACAGAAGAGAATCAGAGTCCATAAGTAGCGTATAAGATGGAAATTCAGGAGACTAAGCGTAATGTCACAGGCAGGGCAGCAGACATGACCCGCGTGAGGCAGAGCTCAGGCCAGTGTCTGTGAGCAATCAAGGAGCGACTCCCTAGGACAGGAAGAGAACACGAACCATGGATCCACTCACTGCCAGATGATGCAAGGGAGACTAATCCCAGGTACTGGGATTAGGGAAGATCAGAAGAGAGCATAAATGGCATGACAACTCATGTGCTGAAATAAGGACAGAAAGCTTTAAAATTATTTAACATACAAACAAGTGAGGCACATAGAATCCCACATAGCCAAGATCAGAAAAGAGCCCACCTATGACACATCAGACTCAGGGTTCCAGAAGTCCCACGTAAGCACAGAATCTTGCTAGTTGTCATAGAAAAGCAGCAAATCACGTATGAAAGCAAACCCCCTGGAATTACAGCACAGTCCTGAAAATAAACCTGAGAGGTCAGGAGAGCATGCAGTGAAATGGTGTTTTCAGCCCTAAAAGAAAACAACTTCCAATCCAGACTGATATATCCTAAAGAGTTATCTTTCAAAATTAATGGAGAATTTATTTATTTTTTAGGGAAGGGTCTACAGGGTG